TTTGGTCATTCTATGACAGACCTGCGGGTGGCTATTTTACAACAGAAAAACTTCAAAAACAGACTCCAACGAGAGACTGCTGAGCTGGAATTGATATGAAAACTAGATACAATCAACTCAGGATTGAATAAGGACTGGGAATGGCTGAGCCATTACAAACATTGAATCTATCTCCCCTTGTAAGTATTCTCACACTTCTTATCAAACTGTCTGTACTGGGCTAGCTTGATTATCACTTCAAAAAATTTTTTTTCCCTTACTTAATTGGCTTCTCAGAGTTGGTAAGACAACTCCCACCTGTTCATGTTCTCTGTATGTGTGTATATATATCTCCTCAATATATGTTCCACTCTATATGCATCCGAAGAAGTGGGCAGTAGCCCACGAAAGCTTATGCTCTAATAAATTTGTTAGTCTCTAAGGCCCTATTGCTATAAAGCCAAGTTAGCAAAATTTGAGCTGTGAGCAAAGTCAGGCCCTGTTATAAAACATGCCTGCTTCCATTTTCACAGAACCTGGCAAGAGCAGGGCTGGTATTGCAAAACTGCACACATTCCTTAGAAGTACTAGGCACAAGACACTCACGCAAACTCATTGCAGAAGGGTGGTACCAGAATACCCCAATACAGTGTTATGGTGTAAGCATGCTCCCAGAAGATGATACAAGGACGCACTGACTTCTCTTAAAGATAAGGCCAGGATGACATGGTGATGGATAGAGTGTTTTGATTAAACCAACATGTACAAGGTAAAGGGTGGTAACGTCAGAGGTATAACACGTAACTTGTTTGTATTGGTGTATAAAGAGGGGTCTCGGAGGGTGTGTCTTTGGCCTGCCCAGGGTGGAATGGAAAGTCCCACCATTCACTGAGATGAGTCAATTGCAATGGGCATATATGTGCTAGTGTAACTATAGACATTGATCTGTGGAGTTAGGACCATGCTTCGTTGACAATAAACCTGGCCGAGTGCCTTCACTACAGAAACTGAGTCTGTGGTCTATTGGGCAGTGTGAGTTAGGTCTGCTGTGTCAGCTATCTGCACAGAGCATACACCAGAAAAACATACATGCAGCCAAAAACTAACAACAGGAGTCAGACGCCTAAATCCTACCTCAAATCCTAGTGTACTTTCTTTGTGCAGGTAACCATGTTTTTGATTATTTATAGCTTTCCTCATTTGCAATAATAAATTGCTCTTTTTTCATGGATAAGATCAAGTTGTTGACTATTGACCACTACTCTGGTATTGGAGGGTTTATAGTTTGAAATAAAATATAATCTAGCTGTTAAGCATGCTTATAGAAATAATAATAGATATTATAGAGCTGTAATATGATGTAGAAGTACCCAAATATATGTATTAAAAGTCGTCTCTGCTCTAGGTTTTAATTAATTGTTAAGGTGTCAGAGTGAGTCCTAGCAGAAGTTGGCAGTTGGTATAAGAAAGCATGAGTGTTATATGCTTGTTTGAAGGTTATGGAATCATATGAGCTTGACATAAGGTTATAAAATGTTGCAAAATGTATTTTGTAATAGTTTAACCATGTATTTGGGTTGAAACATAAATGCATAGCTAATAGAATCTCAGGGTTGGAAGGGACCTCAGGAGGTCATCTAATCCAACCCCCTGATCAAAGCAGGACTAATCCCCAGACAGATATTTTTTCCCTGGATCCCTAAATGGCCCCTGCAAGGATAGACCTCATGACCCTTGCTTTAAGAGGCCAATGCGCAGACCTCTGAGCTATCCCTCCCCCCCCAAATAGTGTAATAATAAGATAATAATAGCATCCTAGTGGCTTTTTTGTAATAAGAGCTAGCTTCATTGATGCATCAAAACTATTGGGAAAGGGAGTGATGCAAATGATTGTATTAACTGTTGAAAAGGTAATTACAGTCAATTGGAACACCATGTATGGACAACCGGAACCCTAAAATTGGTATCCTGAAATATGAATTATGAATAGGGGGTTGAGACTTGACTTGAGCAGATATTGTCCCTGATGTATGTGGGAAGATTTGGAAAAGGAGTGCAAAAGCTTATCAAACTAATTCCTAGCTGGGACACTGGAATGATGACATTGGACAACCGGGTTGGAAGCTTGGCCTAGCTCCTTTCTTTTGCAGTGATCTCCACTTACTTTTTCTTCACTCTTTATTTCCTAGTGTCTCCATTAAGTTTGTCTCTATGTCAGATTGTAAGTATCAGCAATGCATCCCACTCTGGTTATTAACTGGTCACACCTTGAATGGTGGGAAATTCTGACCACGGTGTTTATTCGCTTAGATCTGTTGGGCATTTTTCCAAGAAAGAGTATTTCCAGGGAAATATTTGGCCTTTTTCAGTTTTCATGACAAGTAATCATGCATTTTTTCTGGATTGTTTGTAAATCAATTGACGAAATAATCAAAGGTATCTCAGAATGGACATTGAAAAAAATATTCAGTACATGAACATTTTCAGACACTATTGCCATATATATTAACATATATAAAACGTATGTATGTATAACATATTATAGTATTTATGTAAGTGAGCTTAAAGGGTCTGATGAAAAAGGTAGCCAATCTTGTTGCTGGTTACATGTGAGATGGGGAAGACTGGACGGTGATCCCTTCACCCATATGGGGGGAAGGAGGTATTGAGCCTTGTGAACCCTTGGGGATTGAAGGCTGACTCATCACCTCACTACACTAAAGCATCTTCAGGCCTGCAATGACTCATGAAAGTACCTGGGTTCCTCCACATGATGGAGTCAAGTAGGGTTGAGTAAACCAGATTCTTGAATCCAGGAAAATCCAACCTGAGGGTAGTGTTACTTGCAGGTTATATGGTGTTACTGATGTGCCCCATCCACATCAATCTTTCCCTTCCCATTATATGCTTCCTCTATATTTCCCAATATAAGTAAAGTGTACCCTGATCGGTGATTCATAAGTAAGGCTATGATTTATTCATGAGTCTTTTTAGTTAAAGTCACAGACAGGTCATGGGCAATAAACAGAAAGTTACAGCCAGTGACCTGTCTTTGACTTTTACTAAAAAGACCCCTAACTAAATCTTAGGTAGCTGGGGGGCGGCCCTGGGCACCGCTGCTGCTCCCGGACCACTGCTCTGGGGCCGTGCCCAGGACCAGTTGCCTGGGGCCAGCAGAGCAGTGGCCAGTGCGGCTGGCCTCTGGGCTGCCCCAGTTGCTGCCACACCAGCCACTGCAGCTGCAGCTGCAGAAGACCAGAATCCGTGACCTCCATTGAAGACTCGCAGCCTTATTCATAAGTTACAGAGGTGTCATCAGAGATATATTTGAGGTATCAGGCTAGTCATAGAGATAAATGTCAGGTCGGGGATAGTCAAAGCCACATAGGGAGGTAAAGTAGGGTTCCTCACTAGTGTAGCAGTCAGTTGGAGACTCCATCCCATTTGTGGCTAAGAGCCCAGCCATTGAAGCCCACTGTGGCCAAATCAGAGGGACACTAGGTAAGGGCTCCTATTGATGATTGGCTTCCCTTAGGGGCACAGAGACCTATGAAACCACCTCATATAGATATTTGTCTTTCAGACATAGATATAGCTCAATGGTGCATTTTGGACATATGCATATATGGCAATTGTGTCTGGAAGTTTTCATGTATTATTTTTTTTTCAATATCCATTCTGATCAGTTTTTTGGAGAAAGTGAGATAGACATTTGACTTTCAAAACACTTTTGCTAAATATCAGTACAGAAATACACAAAAAAAATTACAAATTCCAAAATAGTTGGTCACCCCAGCAGTTCATTTATAATACCCCAATGCTGCATAAATTGTTTCAAATTGCACATAAGAGTACGATATCTAAACTCCAAATGAAGACATGAAACCATTAAACATCTAAAATAACAATAATAACAAGACGGCAAACCCAGTACCAATAAATTAACCTCATCTTCTTTGATAATTGAC